AACGAATTGCAAACTTTTTTTTTTATAAAAGTATTTGAATGAAATTTGATACATAGGCACTTGGAATAAAGGAAAATTTAACGCCAGTTTCAAAATTTGGTTTTGCGCATGCGCAGTGGCAACTTTTTTATTTATGGAAGAATTTAAACGAAATTTGATACATAGGCGCTTGGAATAAAGGAAAATCAAATACCAGTTTCAAAATTTGTTTTTGCGCATGCACAGTGCCAACTTTTTTATTTATGGAAGAATTTAAATGAAATGTGATACATAGGCACTTGGAATAAAGGAAAATCTAACGCCAGTTTTAAAATTTGGTTTTGCGCATGCGCAGTGTCAACTTTTTTATTTATGGAAGCATTTAAATGAAATTTGATACATAGGCACTTGGAATAAAGGAAAATCTAACGCCAGTTTTAAAATTTGGTTTTGCGCATGCGCAGTGTCAACTTTTTTATTTATGGAAGCATTTAAATGAAATTTGATACATAGGTGCTTGGAATAAAGGAAAATCAAACGCCAGTTTCAAAATTTGGTTTTGCGCATGCGCAGTGCCAACTTTTTTATCTATGGAACTATTTAAGTGAAATTTGATACTTAGGCGCTTGGAACAAAGGAAAATCTAACATTAGTTTTAAAATTTAGGTTTGCGCATGCGCAGTTCCAACTTTCTTATTTAGAAAAGCATTGAAATGAAATTCTTCTCATAAACTGAAATTGAAGTAGCACGTCAAAAATGGATTGCCCAATGCCCATGTGCAACGCTATCTTTCATATTTGTGGCCGAATGTTTACGATTTTAACAGAAGTTGCATCTTACAAATGGGAAATGAATGCAAGTGGAAATGCGCTTTATGTAAATCGTTTACGATTATTTTTTAACTTGTTCGATTTGGCTAGGGAGGGACGGATGGCCATCGGTAAGCTACTAAATAACACTAACGTTGACAGGTAAGTGATTGTAGTACTTATTTCCATAACTATAAATGTTGGAAACGAAAAGTCTAGACTACACTTTTTTATTTATGAATTACGACGAAAGAAGTTTAAAAGTTACTTTTTTTATGTTAATAAGTAACTGTGTGGTTGTACCTACTATTTACAAAGCTTTTAGTTTATACAAAATCATATTATGTTTGGCAGGTTGCGTCGAATAAAAATAGGTATAAGATAAAGTTGCAAAAAGGTAACGTTGTATGTAAGATCGCGATTGTATTTATAAACGTTGTAGAACTGAAATCCTTACACCCCAACACGCAGCAGTATTTTATTCTTTAAGTGATTCGAGAAATAAATAAAAAGAACGCGAGGGTAAAATGTAGCAACGTTAATAGAGTTTCGTAAATTGTTTAGGAACCGAACGATTTATCTTTATTATTATAGAATGTCAATACCACACTCCGTCGGAAGATATGATTCTTTACAAACATTTAAGAATAGAAGTACACTTTGTCAACAATAAATAAAAACTGCAAGAAATTTACCGAGCTTTTTAAATTTTTAAAGTAAATTCACCATTACTGTCAGAATTGGGTTCTGCATGACTCAGATGACCTCCGAACAATTTGATTTTAATAAAAATTGTAATAATAACAGTTTAATAGTTTTTACCTGCACCTTGAACAAATCAATTCAATATGAATAATATCAGTGTGGTAAGGGTGTCATTCTAATCCGATCCACCCTGTAAGAGCAGCGGCGAATCGATGGTGCAGTGGTAATTCAATGGTAAAACAAATTAAACATTGTTTTACAAAAAAGTAAGAGAATAACTTGCATTTAATTGTTTTACTAGATGGTCCAGTGCAAGTAACTAGTGAAGAATCTTCAAGAGAGCCCACTACTTTTTATTCCTGTACAAGCTTCTTGTGCAACCTTCATTCGAAATTGGGCGTTTATTACTATTAATAAAAAAGAGATGATACGGACCGAGCTGTTCAGAATATAAAGCGATTAAGTGAATTGATAAATTGTTATTCTAATAAAGTAACAATAAAAAAAGGGAAAAAGCATTTAATCCGCATTAGTGTCGCCCACAACTTTACACAATTTTAAAAGTTTAAAATTTATATTGTGGCAATGTATTTACGACACGCACAACGAAGAGGTAACTGGGACCTAAATAAGATCAATGACAGTGGCAGGCAGTACAAAATGTCTAAACGCTGCCTTTATATAAATGCAAAGGAAGGGTGCGTGGAAGAACGGATTAAACCGAGTGATGAATGTATATAAATTTGAAATATATTATTTTATTGTGCTTCATGTACGTACGTTCAGGTGTTTTTTTTATTTCTAATGATAATATAAGTAAATTAGTTGCATTAGTGTAAATGAATTAATAGGCCTTTGTTATGCTGCCTCAATATTAAAAGAAGAAAATTTATCTTTTATGGGAGAAACTGAGATTAACTTAGAAAGTAGTCTATGTTGTACTACTACACGTATATATTCCAATTTAACCAACACTTCACTGCAACTGAAAATTACCTTTATCTATCTAGTATTGGCCCTTGACCGCCAGTTTACGGTAGAAGACATAACGTGATATATTACTCCCGACCAACTTAGAAATTTTTCAACCATTATTCAGTTCATTGCATTCCGAGCTCTGCGGGTTGGAAGTTTCCTTTTGTTTGCAAGTTTATGGATCCGGGAACTGAGCTCACTTCTTTGGATGAAGTCTAAGTTACATTAAGGTTGCATTTTTATGTTTTGCGTGTATTGGGCCTATACGTGCGGATTTGTGTTCGGAACATCAATTTCTTTGTGGAAACTTGTTTTAAAATCAAGTAATCAATTTAATCGATCATTCTTGATTGGAGCTTTGTTAAAGTGGTATATTTCAATTGTAAAGCCAAGTTACTAAGCTTTTTGTGTGTGATGTAACTTATAATTTTGACATTTGAATATTTGTATGTTACACTATTCCATTGGGGAGACAATTTTTATTTTGTCATTTAATCACAATAAACCAGCCTTTAGTTTGGTACTTTATTTGGTTTGTACCTCCCCCCCCCCCCCCCCCATCGAGTTCGTTTTGGGACTTGATAATTCACCTGAGGTGATTCCACCGAATTTACCGAACCTTGGTTTTCCTCGAAGGCCATCAACTCTATGTACTTTCTTACCTTCTCAAAACAAAAACATACCTATTCCTTCTAATTATGTTGATGTACATAAATTACTTTTTGACCTTCTGGAAATTCTTGGATCAAAACAGCACCAAACGAAGAGGGGTCAGTTTGTAAACGGCACAGAAAAGGCAGGACAACTAAGAATGGGTCCATTAATTAGACATTCTTTAAGACAAACAAAAGAAGTTTCACAAGATTCCGACAATTTCCAAGGGTTATTCTTTTTCTGATGCGCATTCAAAGGTGCATAGTAGCATATTCAGAAATGAGGCGTCTACCAAGAGGTAGTACCTAAGGAACATCTCAAATCTTTAACATTACTCGGATAATGAATCTGTAAAATAGCAGTGACATTCTCAGGACCTGGACTTAAGCCATGTTGATCTATATAACCTAAATACTTTAATTGAGGTCCACAAAATTGACATTTCTCACGAGTCACGACTAACAGTAAATCGAGCTGAAGTAAGTCGATCATTTGTGTTACGGTTTGAAGCTGCGTAGAGAAATTGGGATAAATGACATTAATATCATCAAAATAAACTATAACAACGGGTTGTAAGTTACCTCCCAAAACTGAATCAATTATACGCTGCCACGTAGCCGGTGCGTTTGTTAAGCCAAAAGGCATACGTTTAAAATGGTATAACCCTCTTCCCGGAATAGTAACGGCGGTATACTCACGAGAAGTGTGTGAGAGTGGAACTTTCCAAAAAGCTGATTTAATATCCAAACTGCTAATGTACTCGGCGTCACGTAACCGATCTAAAATAGCTGGTGCGTATGGTAAAGGATATGCGTCTATTTTGGTTACGGCATTTAATTGTCTAAAATCAACACAGAATAGTTTTCCAGTTCACCAGTAAAGTCAGCAACCTTCAGTGCATAAAGCAATCACCAGAACATTTGGATTTTAAGAATTTCCATTTCGTTATCAAAATTATGTAGGTATTAAGAAGTTCCTTTGTTCTGACTCGACCCTCATCTAAATATACACGTCTGTTATCATTATTTGGATATTAAAATAACTTGGCGTATTGTCGTAAATAGGTACCCGTAAAGTAAAGCACCCTTTTCACGTATTTACAGTCGAAAGCAACAACCGGAGTTATGTAAACACAACAACCGGAAAATACCTATTGTACCTATAATTATTTCTACAAATGCCTTTAGGTTTCATTAATGTGTGCTTCTCAAAGCGTAAATTTCAATGCCGAAAATTCAAATTGATATCATTAGGTAGGTAAATTAATATTATTTCCATGGTAGCCAAATGACTGAAATACGCGTTCTCTTTGGTGCTGTTACATAATTGGGAGGCCGTCACGGAGATGGAATGTAGATTAGTCATTAAACCATTTGACATATCTCTGTTTCAAGTAGATGTTGCGTGGTATCTGCAATCCAATAATTAGGTAGTAGTGGAGTAATACTAATTTATTGCCACTCAATCATCCTGATAAGTACCACATCTGCTATTGCAGCCCGAATTGAGAGTTTTTTCCCTGTAGAGTGCGGTAAGAACAATTAATATACTTTAAAAATGTTATTAATGGGTTAACGGGCGATGTCGTTTGCTGAAAATGGTGAATTTTTGGGGCTTAATTGACTGATTTCAGTTTTCCACTACAAGAGACAATTGTTCACATAGGTTGTTGTCAGGAAGCAGGCATAACGGAAACCATCATAATGTTCATTCAAGTATGAAACATTGTAGGTATGAGAAAGCATCTAGAACTCTCTGTGGAGCCACGCCGGCGCCGGCGTCTTTAGAAGTGCTACCTTCATTTTTTATTAGATACATCAGAGTTAATTTAATGTGCACCACACATGATGCGTGCTTAAAAATACAAGTTGTCTTACCCGAATCTTGTTCCCTAGCGAAAGCAGCAACGTCGACGTAATTACTATTCATCATTAGGTCCTTGAGACATCCCACAAATCCCTGGCCGAGTACCGCAGTCCAAAGTGCTGGCGGAACTGGAATCTCCGAAAATGGAGGTCCTAATCCTCCCACGTAAAGGTTTCCATCCAGTTCCAAGCTAGTGGACCCCTCTGAAACGCGAAAACCTAATAAAATAAGATCGTCCAATTTCAATGTGCGTGTCACCTGGCGTTTTAAAATCTGTATGAAATCCATCGACAGTAATCCGCGCGTCTCTTCCGGTTCGTCTAAAGATGACATCGTGCCACCCACCGTCGTCAATACGGCGACGCGACCCTCTTTGCTTCCACGAGCCGGAACCCAAATCTACGTGTACGTAGATGTGGCCGTTGTATACTTCTATTGCAAATAAGTCGACCTGTAAGCAGAAAAAATAACTAAAGTACAGTAATTAATAAAATTCTACTTTATAACAATATTAGCAAGCTATAGAAGAAGATATTATATTGTTTCATTATAAAATGCCAAATACGAGACAAATTTCACATGTATATCTACAACAACTACGAGTGAATTTTGGCAATGAAAGTTCAGTTGATTTATCGGCCAGACCAATGCCACGTAAGAATGTTGTGTACAAATTTAAATTAATTAGTCACATTGGAGAGGCAGAAGCTGAAGTGAGCTTAGGATTCGGATTCGGACTCAAAGTATTACAGCTGGCCGCGATGACCATGCACAAACCTTACAAAACAACAAAAATACCCTAATTAATAGCTATATGAATAGATTATTTGTGTTTCCCTTATAATTACTTTAGTAAAAGAGGTCACAAACACTCATGATTAACTTAACAACCACTTCTGCAAAATAAAGAAACTACTACCTACCCTTCAAAGATAGAGGTGGAATTACGACCTCGGCAATTATGTTAGTAATAGGCTGGGAGTTGGGACTGTACAAGGGCTTTTGGCTGCACATGGGGCTTGATTCCTCGACTAGTATATTGGCTCTACACTGAAGTGAGAAGACCAATAATAGTATACGATGCACTTGTATAGAAGGCTGCCATGCGCAGGGGAACATATACGAAGCAACTATAGTAGGTAAGGTACAAACACTCGCCTGCCTGGGAGTCACTGAAGTCATGGAAACCACGCCAACTTTCGCCATGGAGGCACTTTTGGAACTAGAGCCTTTACCATTGGGTGTGGAGGCAGAGGCTCGGAAGGTTTCCATACGGCTAAACGATTAGGGCGAGTGCAAGGATCGAGGCAGTCCTGGGCACGCGCGGGTCTGGGAGGAAACCCTCAGGTCCGATCCCCACCTCGCAATGAGGGATGCGATCCGGGCTGTCTTACTAAGACCAAAGAGTTATAGTCCTCAAACGTGAATTGTTTTTACAGCCGCCGAAAGCTCTCTTGCCGGTGAAGAAGAGGGAGAAACAATTTTATTAAATTTTGGTTCCGTTAATTATCGATTAATCGATTTTAGTTTTCTACTAGTATACGAAAATTTAAGATTGAAACCGGAAAGGTCGTGCAGTTTAAGGAAAATATCAACGTGACAACCGATTGCACCACTTACCCTCACATTCCAAGCAACAAAATGGCATTCCTGGACTGCCGAATTTGACTAATTGGATAAGTAAAATTAAGGATTGACATTTAAGTGAGTTACAGAAAACCCGTCCGATTGAGCTGAGTCTTATGTCAAAAGAAGCGCTCTTAAAAAACGGGAAGTTTAACATCGGTCCCATATTTTTCCGATGTCGGGGAAAGGGTTCATTAATTAGAAACAGTTTAATTTGTTTGAACGCATCGAAGGTACTATGCGACCAAAATGAGTTGCTGTCACCTTTGGAATCTTTGTTTAGATGGGGAATCATACTGCCAAAGGCGACTCGACCGCCACTAATTTTTGATCGTCCGTTATAAGCGTGCAACATGGGAATTCCAGTTATTCCCTACTCGAAATGGACGTTTAGATAAATAGAAAACGCACTATGAATTTGGATCTTTAGCCATTTTGTTTACCGTAAGTACGTTAATTCATCGAACTATTTTTTTTCGAAACCGTACCGTATTCAAATCTTGATTTTTTTTACTTTTGCATCTTCGCAAGCTACGTTTTGTAAGTATCGAAATTTTTGGGCTCTGCGGATAAATTTACTTTTGCAACCGAACCGTCCTTAAATCATCGATCTTTTGCCTTTTTGTGGTTAGCCGAAACGTAACTCTTTGTCTTCTGCATCTTTTGTGTTTCGTGTTTTAACCGTATTCTGTTTGCCGATTGCACTTTCACCAGTTACATTTCTTTGCATCCGTACCGTTTCATTTTGCTTTTGCATTAAGTTACCGTACCGTACTTGTGGGAATTGGCTTCTTGCGAACTTTTGCTACCGCTCCGTTAATTGCAAGGCAAGCTTTTTGTTACTTTCCGTAAATCCCGGATATTGTTCGCTTTCCCGCAATTGTTTTTCCGCCGGTTAGTGTTTTGTTGCTTTCATTTCCGTTGGAGTTTACCGTAATTTTGTTTTAGCTTTTCCGAAGAGCTGCCGTTTCTCCGGTTCAGGTCACACCCGAGGCTTCGGAGACCGACCCGCCAGACTGTTGCTACCGCCGACCTCGACCAGGCGCGAAGCCGTTCGCGTGGTGTCGCTTGAGTCCGTCCGGCCGTCTGTTTCGTTGCGCCGACTCCCGCTACGTTTTAAAATTAAGTGTTTCTTATGTTCTGCATGATTTTATGAAAGTTGTTACAGCCTGTTACAAACATAATTATTGCAGAGGTCGTTATTCCACGCCTATCTTGGAAGGGTAGGTTCTTCCCTTAAACATTCGGATTTGTAAAGGGACCTTTTGCAGAAGTGGTTGTTAATCATGAGTTTTTGTGAGTTCTGTTAGTAAAGTAATTATAAAGGAATCACGAATAAGCTATTCTTATACCGGGTGATCCAAAATAATTGCAGACAGTTTAAATTTGGCGCGGAAAGTGGTTTTTACTTAAGCCATTAGCAAACATGTTTAGTAGGTGGTATATTTATGCAGTAATCGTATCCATTGGCGTCCTTTTTTTATGCAAATTTTTTATTTCCTTGTCTGTACCGCGATCCATACTTTTTAAAGCAAACCGTTCTTTTTAAAGGTTCTTTGCAGGTGCAATATTTTGTCAACGTACAAATAAAATCCTGTATAAGGATCATGTACCTTACTTTTTACGTTTAAAGGCGTACTATCAAACGCAACACATTTACAAGATGCTCATATTCGACTTGGTTGTAACAAAGAATAGTTCTGTGGGTTGTGCTTACTGCAATTCAACGAGAACAACGAGAAATATGCTACCTACCTACTGGACTGTGGCGCTAAGGGCCCCCAGTTCGAATCCGGGGTCGGGCATGGATATTTGTAAATGTACAGTGGGTGGGTTGGTAGAGCAGCTTTGACTGAAACCCCGCCCACTCAAAAATAAAGGCAAATAAATAAAAAAAATGTTTTCATATAGTTTCGAAGACGAAGCATGGATTCATTTATGAGAATAGGTTGATAGAACGATCGCACGTCAACAACAGAAAAGAACTTTACGGTGATCGTTTAATTAGCATGGCTATCCCTGGGGCAACGTTAGAACAAATATTTAAATATATGAACCGGAGCGTGCAACTGTGCTTGATAAATTAAATTTTTTAAATTAATGAATTGTGATTATTGTTTAGTGATCCATTAAATTGATCCACCACTGCTTTTAAATAAATGACATGTTACCAACTTTATAAATGTTTAGTTTTGCGGGAAATTAAAACTGTCCGTAGTCATTTTGGATCACCCGGTAGTAGTTACTTATAAGGGGTAGCTTGATAATTGTTGTTTTGTAAGGTTTTATGCTCATTTTCATTGCGCTTGCATAGTTTTTACACCCACTTCTATTATAAATTCGTAATTTCGTATAACTTAGCTGGTCAACTGTAATATTTGTGAAACCGAATCCGAATCCCAAGCTATCTGCAGAGACATGTGTTTCATCTCAAATTATTTGTTATAGATTTTATCATTAAATATTTGCTTGGTGTACGTAGCTTCAATTTATCTAATCTAATGTATTGTGTAGTGATCAGAGAGAATTCGCGATAGCCAGGACCCTTTGCTTTGTCATATCAGTAACTGCAGGGAACGCCAGCTTTGGCAATCTTTTGATTATCGTCGTCTAAGACATAGTATAACTTTTATTGCTTTTGAAGAAAATTTATTGATATTAAATTTTTCACCTCAGTTGCTACGAAGACATTTCACGTATTCAAGTATAAATTAATGTTGTAGATTTCGCGTAGGTAGGTACTTGCTGAAACTCGGATGTATTCCAACCTGCAAGTTTATCTATTTTTCCATTGGGCCATAGTTGAATATCAATATTGGGAGATGGGAGATAATGATGATGAAATAATCACAGAAAACTTCCGTGTACTGCTAAGTCAGCGTTTTTTTCATATTATGCGCATATGTTGGAAAATATGCTGAAATGTAGGAAAATTTAAAGTGGCTGTAATAAAACTGTAGACATATTGGAAAGAGTACATTTTCCATTTGGGTACATTCATTGAATGGTTCCGTATTTCAAAGATCTGTTTTATGATCAACACAAAATGAGAAGCGCTGTTACGTATTCAGTTATGAGGTCTGTTAGTTGTTACGTATCTAGACACAAAACAACCCCTAAAAAATTAGTTCTATTTAAACGTGATTTGCAATAATAAATTTCATTAACGAACTGTTATTCTCAAGAAACACGTTATAGGTCCCTAGTGGTAACTTTATATCAATCAATTATGAAATTATTCGGCATTTCACTCTGCATTATAATAATATTGTCCGATTAAATTAATATTAGGTATGTACTCTACCACTCTACGTAAGTAAATGTTTGTGTAACAATCTACGCTTTATATTATGAAAGGTAATAAACGTTTATAAAGTTTTTGTTAACTGAAGTTGTCGGAATATTATTGTTTCAAAACGGCTATGGTCATGGGTGCTTTCAGATTTCACGCACAGCTCATTTACTAAACTTTCCAAACCGCGACCGTTAAAATAGGTTTGTGAGTTGATATTTTTTTCCACTTGGCGTGCTTTCTAGGGAAACATGAGGATATAGTGTAGGAACTAAAAAATGGTAAACCTTCAGTTTAAAATTATACAAAAAAACTGATTTAAAAAATAAATAAATCTGTCATACAAGGTTAAAATTAAAATTCAGGATGGTGGTTTCTAATACATGAACGTTTATTAAATGACACCCTCTACAGGGTGTCCCAGGAGGAATAGGCAATATTTTGGGAAATTAAAGTAGAAAATTTCGGTTGGGATGGGTGTTGGATGTCAAAGTTTTGAGGTGTCCCTACATGAGGTCTTAAGTTGTTCTATA